AGAAGGGTACAAGACAAGACAAATCAAGACTTGTAGGAAAAGGTTCCTACGACGGAGGTGTACTTGTGGGCGTGTTAGCCCATTTCATCACTTAGCGGTAAGAGCCGAAGCAAGTACAACCATTATGGGAGGTTGAGTCCTTATGGGGGCATGAGCAAGTGGAGACATCGAAAGGAAACCAAGTTGATATAAAGTATGACGTGAGGAATCGTAAAGTTACATGCGGCAGAAGCCAAGGCAAGCAGTTCGTATGAGAGGACCGCAACAAGTTAAGGCATTGAGAATTATCCAAGGTGATACAACCCAGGATCATCGAGTGTAGCGACGAAGGCATCGCTAGGTTCGGTGGGGGGATAATGTCACTAGATGTGATCTTTGGGTCTGAGACATTGGTTCAAGTGTCCGACAAGGAGGTTCAAGATAGAGTATCGGGCTTGCCAAGGCCACCAAACTTGGCCCATCCCTTGGAGAATGTTATGGAACCTGTTCATATTGGCCGTACATAATCAAATCCCAATATGATCACAAGATCTCGGTAAATATGGCAAGAGACAACAAATCAGGAAGATATTGTGAGAGAATCTTACCATATCCGGTGTGAACATCTATCCAAGCAAAGAATCCTAATAATTGTTGTAATTGGGTTGGGTTTCCTTGATTTAGGGGATTTTGTATTAATTGGGCAGATCTTAGCCGTTGATATAAATCGATCTAGGCCATTGATTGAGATAGAGCTCAACTATAAATAGAGAGCCTCTCTTCCTCATTTGTAATCATCCATTCTTTTATTCACTTCTTCATTCTCTTGGGAGAGAGTAATAAAGCTCTGAGGAAATTACTCTACTTTCAGTGTTCTTTGTTCCCAAGTTACTTTGTGTTGTTGCCTATCTTGATGGCTAGGAGTAGCCACACTTGTGTTTGCACTTCCACACAATAGTCCAACCTTGGTGGCTTGGAGTAACCATGTTAATGTTAAAGCTTTTACAATCCTAAAAGCCTTGAGGGCTTGGTTCCAACCTTTATGAGTTTGCATGCTCACTAGCCTTGAGTAAGGCTTACTTAGTCGCAATAAAGACCAAAAAATGTCAAGTAGCGTATAAGGTCACATCAGACCTTAACTCTGATATTGCGATATTTTGGATTTGAAGGTTATAAGGTTGTGACAAGTGGACAGACAATGATTGTTTCGTCCGTGTTTGGTGGAAGGTGCAAAACTGGGTAAGTTTAATTTACTTACTGTTCAATTAATTTACTTTGGTAATTGATTTGACAAGGATTTGTGCTCGAGCTAGTCAAGGGTGAATTGAACTAGTTCGTGAAAAAGAGTGAGAGATGGGGAACAAGAGAAAATGAGTTTCTGCACACAAAGGCAAAGAGTGCCATGGTGGGAAACAAGAAGAGAGTCTGATGGGCTCGAGAGCATCGTCCGTGTCCAAGCATGGGGATGCCATGATAAGTTCACAAGAAATCTTTGAGGCAATGAAAGTACACCAAGAGGAGCTAGATCTCGAGGTAGAGAGGCTCAAAGGTGGAGCTCAAGGCATGTTCGAGCGAGATAGTACGTTCATTCATGAAGAAAAGGAAAATCTTGATGGGGAACAAGATAAGGAACTAACAATAGACTAGAGATTGGCTTATTTGATGGAATGTCTTACTTTCTATTCTGAGAGGCTCATCAAGATGGAGCAGTTCTCAACTTAATAGGAAAAAGGGTCATGAGACTTGAAAAAGTCGAGGAAGAGGACAATGAGACCTAGGGTCTTATGAAGTCCTACCTTGATAAATTGGAGTCCATGGATGACAGGTTCAAGGACGAGATACACTGAGTTCTCGATGAGTTAGAGATGGTTCGAGGGAGTAATGCCTAGGAAGCCAAGGTGATGGCTTTGAGAAATGAGGTGGATGAGCTCAAGAAGGAGATGCTCATATGCAAGGGAGAAATTAATGAATGGGGTGCACTCAAGACCTTATTGGAAGAACTTAGACCAGGGGTGATGCTCGAGGAAGAGCAAGGTGATGCCCAGGGACTTTTAGAGGCCATAGGTATAGTCGGAAAGCTGACCGATCTTGCGGGAGACAAGCCAACTAGCATTGTGTCATCCAGGCCCATACCCTGTAATAGTGGAAATAGTGGGGGAGACCGGGAAAAGGCACAACTGAGAGATGATAAAGGAAGCTCTTCGAATGGCCAAAGTGAGTCATCGATTGTTCGTAGCCAAAAAAAGCCATCGAGAAAGAATGGTAAGGCTAAGTCCGGTGTGAAGAATAAGGCGGGCAAGGAAAAGATGAAGTGCTACTTCTGTGATGGAAAAGGCTTTATAGTATCGATATGTTTAGGTGAAGTATTGATACTTCTTCATTAGAGTATCAAAACCACCCTGGGTATCGATATTAATCTTGAGTTTGATGTTTGGAATTAATTTAGTATTGATATCCTTATTTAAAGTACTGATACTTCTTCTTTAAATAGTATCAATATTCTTAGTGTATCGATATCAAAATTGACTATTGGAATTTGTAACTTAATGACGGCATCGATAGTATGCCCTCATTATCCATAACGACGGTATCAATAGTATGCCCTTAGTATCCATACCTTATAAAAGTATCGATACTATATTAACAGAGTATCGATACTACCTGACCAATATCCCTTGAATTTGGACTTCTAGACGAGCAATATCAATGTTGTTGGTCCAGTATCAATATCCTGAACCTAGAAAACTCTATTTTATCTTGAAAAAGACACTCCTCCCATACTCAAAGCCCTTCCAATGCCATCATATTATTTAAAGCTTATGACAGTTTAAGGAGTCCATAATATGCCAATTTCATGCATGAGAAACATCAAAACACCTCATTTCCCTCGTGGACACAATTATACCTATAATGCACTCATACAAGTAAGCAAATTACACTTAATGATCTACAAGCGGTATAAAAGAGTTAGGAGTGTGTTTCATTTGTCCTAGCTACTGGTAAACACCTCCAAGTCACCTAAGAACTAGCTTCTCTGTGTTCTTGCATTAGGAGCTCTCTCCAACTTCTCTTACTAATCATAAGCAAGGAAAATGAATTGCAAACTCGTTTTAGGACTTAAAAGGAGTGAGAATATGATTATTAACCTTTATAAACTGATTGGAAACAACCTAGAGCCCTACAACCCATAACCCTACTAAAACCTCCATCTTAGCCACCATGGCAAAACCTTGAGATGATAAGTTAGAAATTGAGCTCTAGGGAAGGAGGTTAAGAATCTTACCTTCACAAATATGGCCTATAGATGTTGGGTAACCAAGTTCTCCCCTATAGAACTTACAAGAGAAAGAAGAAGAGAGAAAAAGAGAAGAGGAAAAAGATATGATGAGTTCTCATCTTCCTAATATGTGACCTCACCCCAATCAAAGAAAATCAACCTTATTTTTAAACAAGGGTCTAATTCCCTTTTTAGTTCTTTCTCTTTTGGCATCAATTCAAAAATACCATTTTTATCATCTTTTGGGCTCAACTCAAGCCCAACCCATGCCACAGTTAACCCAAATTATTTGTGAACGCCTACCATAGACGCTCAACCCCAAATAGTTTACCCAAAACTACTAGTTTGTTATTCAGGGTGTTACACAAACGGTTGAGAGTCTTTCTCCCTCGATTAATAAAATGATTAATATAATGAATACAATAAAATGACAATGATTTGATTTGATTTTCTCCCAAATAAAATCTAAATTTTTTATTAATATATTCATATTAAAAAATTATAATCTACTAAATAATCATCTAGATACTAAAATCGATATTTTTTTGTAACACTTCAAAAATCGGTATAGATTTTTTTACTGTTCAATAAAAAAATTTCCGACAAATTATTTCAATGTTAATTTCCCTAAGATTGAAATTATTATTTTTTATTATAGATTAAAGAATAATAGATGTTGAATAAAGGTTTAAAGACTAAAATGTGATAAATGAACAATTTGATGATTTTATTGAAAAATGAAACTTCAATGGTTAAGTGATAGAAGAGAAACTTTAATGACTAAAGATATAATTGTAACATGAAATGATTAGTACATGAAGATAAAAAATAAGGACTAGCTATGCAATTTCTCTAAGCGTTTTTAATGAATAAATTACTTATATGATATTTGATTACAATTTAATCATTTTCTTAATTTTTTAAATTATTAATTTTAATTTGTTCCTTGGCGAGGGTTTATTCCACCGACCTCATGAATATGTTAAACTCTGAATATGTTAAAGAAGAGGTGTTGAAGAAGTTAAGTTCTCCACGGTCTTAAACTCTGGATATGTTAAATCCTAGACTGTTTTTAGAAATTCAACCATTTTCTCTCATTTAAGCCAACTTACCTCGTGATTAACGGAATCATTGTTGTTCTTAGAAATCACGAATTTGTGTAACAGTGATTGTAGAAGGATGATTGAATATTCATTGTCAAATGATTAAGAGTATTTAGAACAAAAACTAACAAATACTACTTTACTTTATAATCACCTTAACTTAAAAAAATTGAAGGATCAATACATATTTGGAATCTCAATTTCTTTAGTAATCTCGATTTTAAGTATTACGTAAATTATATTAAATACCTAAATTATCATGTCATGTCACATTAATATTACTGTTTTATTTTTTTAATGGTAGATTATCTAAATAAAAATGTATCGATAACTATTATTTTTCAAAAGTATAATAATTGAGTGACCAAAATAAAAATAAAATAATATGTGAGTGACTAAATGATATTTTGGCCTATTTAAATTGAGTTCGGGAATCATAAAACCTTATGCAATGTTAGTGCCGAACAATTCGGGTCTACTAGAGCAGTGGATTGGAGATGGAACCAGAATTATCAACTCAAATCTACAATTATTCTCTTAAAACTTGGACTCTATTCTACTAACAAAACCAAAGTCAATTAAAAAAAATGAAAACTATCACCAAACAAATACAACAAAAATACAAATTCAACCGCATCAAAAGATTTGATTTCATGAACCTCGGTCTTTTACTACCACTGAAGAAAATTACTACTATGGTACAACTATAAAGGGATTGCATTTGGCCTCAAGCCTTAACCACCCCTAACACTTCCATTAGCATTACCAGTGAGCTTACCTTTAGTCCTGGTCACCACTATGGACTTTGCTGAAGAAGAAGATGAGATGGCTGATCTGTCAAACTCCTCTTTGTCTTCATGGAATGCCTTACTCAGTACATCTTGTAGTTCCACGTACCTCTTCCTTTTAACCGCCCGTTCCTCCGCTGTATCGTTCCCTCCACATGCTAGCTGCGATAGGTCGTCGGCATCCATGATCTTGTTCAACACTTCTGAGCAACGAGGGAAAAACCGTTTCCCGAGTTCAACTGCCGGAGACACACAGATACAAGGTTAGCTTGACTTCCAACATTTCAGTGTTGGTTTACAACCGTGCATGACTCTCGCTTGAGTTCGAGTACCATAGACAGGGAATAAACCAAGAAAATTTGTTATGACATTTTGGTACCTGTTCTGGAAAGTGCTCTGAGTCTATTTAAATGCTCCTCTTGAATCCTGAAAGGTGCCTCATTCAAGTCCACTGTTGTTTGTGCACCGTTTAATCTGTTAGAATTGATAGTTGCTAATTGGAACTCTGATGTTCCATCCACTTGAGCAATATCCATCACAACTTTTGCTTCCATGGGGAATAGGAGTTTTGCCAGTCCAACTGCCAAAGTTAAGAGATGGTTCAAACATTGAATAAAATGAAAATGAAAAGTTGGACCGAAAATTACCTCTATTTTCGAGATACAACAACTTCATCCGGAGATCATCACCAGCCATGGCAAGAGACAAAGAAGCTTCTCCATGCAATGGATCTCTTATTTCGGCCTGCTCCAGTATCTCTATGCACAGCCGGTCCTTCGGAGAAGCCTTCCCTTCCTCGGTCAATTTATAGTAATCGGCAGCCCGGGTGAGCCGCTTCGAGATCTGAAGAGCTTTCCTACCATCAATTGTGATATCTGATGGCCTAGCGCCTTTCGTTAAAAGAGAAACTATAATCTTAGGCTCTTTCCTCATTGCAGCTACATGTAACACCGTATACCCCCTCGAATTCTGATGGTTAACATCGGAGAGCCCGAGGTCCAGCATCTCGGTCGTGGTCTTAGCATCGCAATATGCCACGGCGTAGTGAAGTGCATAGGCCTCGTCTAAGTTCGTATGACCCTCTTTCAGTAGCATTCGAACTAATTCGACATCATCTGAATCCAAAGCCCGATGAATCCGCCTCACATGTTTGTCGGGAAAACCTATGTTCTCCGTCTTGTCTAAACCAAGTTCCAGACGGGCATCAATGATTTGTTTCACAATGTGATGAGGCAAGGCTTTGTCAAGTGTTACAATATCAACATCGGATTTCACAACAGTTTCTATACACTTTGAAACCAGTCTCTCGCAAGCATTACCGCACATGTTTGCAATATAAAGAACCACCAAGACATCATCTATTCCAACCTTGTCCATAATGTTGAGTAGATGTCTCTGCAATTTAAAAACACAACATAAAATTCTTGAAATTTATTAAAATAATGCTATGTTATTCAAATTTAAAAACAAGTATTTTATATTCAAATTTTTAAAATTGTTTTCATTAACGAGATTCACAAACGTAACCAACGAAGAGTGCGAGTACTATATTTTCACCAATTTGCTAATATTTTTTAAGTGAAGGGATGTTTGGAAATCAACAACACTTGCAAAAGTTTATATGATTAGTAGTTATGAGAAGAAGAATGTAGAATTTGGAATTCATAGTAGAATCTACTGACCTGATACAGAGCAATTAATTCAGAGACCTGAAAAACGAAAGCTACATATAAAACCTCAGAAATGAAATCGACGGCCGGTCTACATCCCACGTGGGAGCAACCATCGTCAACGCAAAGGAAAACGCCTTCAGGAAACGGTCTCACTTTACCGGTATACAAGTAAGCGAGAACCGCAACGAGCGAATCGTAGCCGATCTCATAGTCCCTAGCCAACTCTTTGAGCTCGAACTTAACTCCACCGTCTCTAAACCCCGCGAAAACCGTCTTGAAGACGGAACTCCTCGCAGACAAAATGCAACGGTGAACGGCGACCTCTCGGCCGGAAGAGAGCGCGATTTTGGCATCGGAGTAGAATGAATCGGAGTCCTTTGATTCGAAAAGGGAGTCGAGGTTTCCGGAGAGGATTTGAAGAGAGGCGACGTCGGGAGTACTCAACGGTTCCGATGAAGGAAGCGTTTCGGCGGCGACGATGCAGCAGGTGCTGCTGATTTCGCTGGAATCCGAGAACCCGTTTCTGTGATCCATAGAAACAAAAGGGGATACACTATTTGAAGTGGAAAGTGATCAGTATAGATAAGTGAAGGAAGAAACGATTCGCTATGGAATTACTGAGTTGAAACGAAAGTCAAAGGAGGGAGATAAAGAGGAAGAGTTTGGGCATTGATGAGCTTCCATCAGCTGGTGGAAGCAGAACATGGGCGTGACGGACGACTAAAATTAGAAAAAGAATAAATAACCAAGTATTAGACTTGGGTAAACTACACTTCTAGTATATAAACTATTACTTTTGTTCTGTTTGGTATCTAAACTTTATTCTTTTTCAAAATCTCCCTAAAGTTAAATACTTAACTGTAATATTAATTTATCACCATAAAATAATATCATATCACCATTGAGAAAAAAAAACATCATATCAATAGATCTATAATTTTTTAATAATGAGATACTAAATTAAAACTTAAACGTTAGGTACGATTTAAAAAATTAAAGTCTAGGTACTAATAAAGAATAAAAATAATAGTTTAGATACTAAATTTATGGTTTACCCTAGCTACTTTTAGTAGATATATTATTTATTTACTTATTTCTTCTGTTTAAAGATTGCCTTTTCCTTTATCCCAGCTATTCGTCCGTACATCAGGATCTTGTATTTCCTTGTTTTGCCCTTTCTTCTGTCCTACTTTCTGATTTCCGATTCTGAATTTAACGGCTACGATTTGTTTTCAGAATCAAAGTTGACTAAGCCTGATTCTTATTTTAATTTGATTCAATTTTTATAAATTATTAAGTTATTTTTGACATAATATTATTTTATATTTATGTATTGTATATATAAATTGTCGAAATTACTTTTTTAGCTTGATGATATTGGTACTAAAAAAAAGTGTGTTTTGAGAATGGGATGTTCATTAATCATTTTTAGATCAGATATGATCGAACATATATAAAATTATATTTTATAAAATAATTAAAATTTAATTTTCAAAATGGAAATCAAAAAGATAACTTTAAGACTCTCCTTTTAAAACTAAAATAAAAAAAATTAGATTCGAGAGTTGATTACATGTAAAAAAAAATGAGAACACCTATATGACTATCACAATTGAAACCTTGTTAACTATATGAATTCAAATTAAAATTCTAAATTAGTATCTCTTAAAATTAAAATATGAATGAAAATATAATCAATTGAGTGAATTTATATTAAAATAAAAATATTTGCAGTATTTGTTTCACATTTAAGCTACTTTAGAGACTATCTCATCGTCATCTGAATAAAATGATATCAGCTCAAACAAAAAATAAAAATTTTTACGCAAATACATACATATTTTATAACGCATGAAATAATATTAAAAATGCGATGGTTGGGATTTAGGAATTTAAGCATGTAAGATCAAGGTCGAATCCCACCATCGTCACTTTTAATATGCAATTTGTAAAGTTCTATATAAATTCTAATTACATATTAAGTATGTACTAACCCTAATTAGGAGAGTAAACTCTGACCTAAACTTTTTGTAACAAAAAAAAAATAATATTAAAAATGCAAATGTTTATACATACATAATCAAAAGAAAGTAGTGTTTTCCTTAACTTAGAGATGGGTATGAGATACAAACCCGACGGATTCTGATCCGACCCGATTGGATCGATTTTTTTTTAAATTGGGTTAGAGTCGGGGCGGGTCAAGTTTTTTAAAGGTGATGTTCGGGTCGAGTCTGATTCGGGTATAGGACCCCAAAAAATATAATTTTACCTTATATATTTATGAATAATTACAATAATACTCCTCTATATATTATTTTTTTCAATTATGTTACTATTTTTATTGAATAAAAATAATATTTTTATTATTTCAAGTCGGATCGGGTTTAGATTTTATCTCAAAAAATTGGATCGGGTTCAGGTCGGGTGAAGGGTATATATTTTTCAAGTCGGATGAATGATGTAAAATTTTTGAGTCGGATCGAGTTGGTCTAAACCCAACCTATATCCACCCCTACTCGTAACTAAAAGAAAACAAAAAGAAAAAAAAGGAAAATATTACCAATTTTTATGTTTGTGTTATGAGTACATCAATAAATTGAAGATTTATAAAAATATAAACAAGGAAATAAAAAAATAAAAAAATAAAGAGATTTTGAGAAATTATGATTATTTGAGAAGATGAATGATCATTTAAGTTAGATGACGATGTTTTTGAATGTCAAGAATATTAAACAGTAAAGTTAAGATTGTAAAGTGCATTGCCTGTTTCAACTCATTAAATCAATTTAGGGGAAATTTTTTTACCCACAATTTATTTTCTATTGATTTTACCTTTTTACTTCAATTAAACACCAAAATATTATTAAAAAATATATATTTTTCATAGAATATTTTCCTACAATCAAACACATTTTAAATTAAAGTATGATTTAATTGCATCACATGTCTTCAAAGTATAATCCTCATTTTAAATTGATTCCTAAATTTTAAAATGCTCTAATTTCATCCCTAAACTATGACTCATTCTAAATTGTTCCTCAAACTTTTGAATATTTCATTTTCATCCCCAAAACATGACCTTAATTCTAAATTAGTCCCCAGACTTTTTGAACATTTCAATTTCATCCCAAATTATGCATATATACCAATAACATCCCTTGTTAATAAAGTCATTAGGCCAAGTTTTATTATTATATGTTTGGAAAAAAAACAAAATTTAGGTTAAACTATAGTTAAAACTAATTACATATTTGGATGAACTAGGGGATGAAATTGGAATATTCAAAAGCTACATATAAACAAAATGAAGAAATAAACAACTATAACTACAACAAAAGTCATTAAAAATTATAGAATATAATAAGTAAAAGTACACTAATGGTCTATTGGCTATCGTATCTCAGTCAATATATTAACGTTCAGTTTAAGTGTCATCAAATTTCTAACGAAAATAGATAAATTTGGAACATATGAAATAAGTAGTATCGTTTGTAACTTTTAATGATAAGGAGACTCAATAAAATAATACTTTATAATCAAAGGACCATTTCATAATTTTCAATGGTTAGATATCTCATCAAAACAAGCACTATATACTTTACCCAAAATAATATTATGTATATCTTCACGCATTGGCATCATCAGTCAAACCAAAAGCTTAGGGTAAAAGGGCGGCTAAAATGGTTGGAATTTTGAGCCAAAATTCAAGGGCGGAAAGCTGACGTGTGTTGCGGCCGTTATCAAATTTTCGTCACTATTCTTCCTTTTTTTTTTCAATTTGTAAACTTAGACAAACACGTTTTTCGCTTCGCGTAATCGTCACTGATTGAGATATTTTACTTCGATCTGGATTTTTAATTATATTTGTTTTTTTATTAATTTAGGATGTTTATATGTGATAGTATATGCATTAAAGACACTCAATAATTTGACAATCTTTTTAAGAACCATCGTGCTTTGAAGAACAATCCCGGTTGCTCATCATTTAATTGAAGATAGGGAAATTTGGAAATGTAATTGCAACAAAGGATGGAAATCTAGATATGGCTCCAAGCTGCTGAGTTTAAAGCTTAATTTGGCTTCGGATTGATACCATTACTCTATTGTGGTAACAAGTTTGGTATAATATTCAATATGAATTCATCCATGAAGCTTGGAATAAGTCTTTCTGGGTTAAAGCATTTTCTTCTGATTACTGATATTCCTTTTTAGCTGTAAGACAAACTTGATCCAAATATATCACTATGCACTTATTTCTTTTTTGCTTGTATTGGAAGGCAATAATACTTGCTTTTCCCAACGAAGATGAAGACTATAACTGCATATGATATTCCCATGATTTATTGTGGGTCCCTCTTGACCCTAATCTCCTTAGTAATTTTTTTAATAATAATATGAAAAATTGTCTTTAATAGGTGTTTAATTTCATCCTTAATTATGTAGCTGGTGTTAATCATGCTTTAAAAAGAGTAAAAGCATGTAATGTAATTTCACATCGATAAGGAAAGTGTTTTTAGATAGGTTTATAAGAAGTCTTTTCTTATTTTTCTTGTTTAATGTGGAGTGACAAGACCATCATACTTGTAAACACTAATTTTTTCATATTATTTTTATTATTATTATTTTCATTATTTTCATTATTATTATTATTATTAATATATATTATTATTATTAAATAAATAAATTACAAGACCCGAAGGCCCATTTTACAACCAGAATCGGCCCGTTTCCAACACAGGCCCAACAGAAGCCAATCTGGCCCAACAGACGACCCAAACACTCTAGGGTTTGTATCATTTCTGCTAGGGTTTCTAACCCTAGCGCCGCCGCCGCCTCAGCTATCTCTAGCTGTCAGCCTTTCCACCGTCAGATCAAGACAGATCTAAGGGCCCAAATAGTTCCAACAAATGAAACCCTAGGGTTTCATAACCCTAGGTAATCATCTCGCCTCCACCGCTTCCAGAAGCTCAACCTGCCGCTGCCATGCTGCTACGATGCCAACCGAAGCCTCCAGAAGCCAGCTGCCACGATGCCAACCGAAGCCTCCAGAAGCTAGCTGCCCCTCCACGTCGCAGCTATGGGGTGAGTCACCACATAGTTTGGTGACTCACCGAACTTCACCCATGAGACCGTTCCGACGAGAGCCTCATCGAAGCTATAAAGCTTCGGTTCACCTGCAAACAAGAAACCAGAAAACAATACATACATAGGGAAGAACCTGAGAGAAAAAACGACAAGAGACGGACAACAAACCATAGGCAAAAATACATAAATCAACAACCAACTGACAAAAGAGAGAGGAACTTACCAAGCGTCATCAGAGCCCAAACGTCACCGAAATTTTTCGTTTAAACCGAAGGTAAAATCTTCGGTTATTTTTTTAAATCTAAGGCAGTCTAGTGGTTTTTAGGGAGAAATAAGGTAGGATTTGGCATGGGGAGATTTAGGGCTTTATTTTGGGGTATTTTTGTAAATCCGGCCACCATCGGCAGTGGCTGACGACCATCGGCAGTGGCTGACGACGGCGATTGGTGCTGGAAACGGTGGCCTACCGGAACTCGGCAAGAGCCTTTTAGAGATGGAGAGGAGTGGCAGCACAAGTTCAACCCCCCATGTTAGAAGAAGAGATATCATATATGTTTCGGGATTCTATTCCCGCTCCTTTCTTCGA